TATTTAAATATTTTTATTTGACCATCTAATTTGTAGCATATGGCAGTCCAAATCCTTCCACCTTCTGCTAAAAAGTCACAAATGCTCAAAATCAAGCCATGCTATCAGTTTTGAATTACATCTTAATAGATTAATAGACTAGTTTGATGATTTTATATGTGTACATATATGCACATGGTTCAAGATGCTGGTGGAAACTATAATACAGATCACTGATTAATTAGGAAAGCTGGAAGCAACCAAGATGTTCTTCAATAGGTAAATGCATGAACTCTGATACAATCCATACACTACAATATTATTCTGCTATAAAAATAAATGAGTTATACAGCCACAGAAAGACATGGAGGAAACTTCAGTGCATATTACTGAAAGAAAAAAATAATATGAAAAGGCTGCATATAGCACAATTCCAACATTATTGCATTCTGGAAAAGGTAAAACAATGGAGACTGTTAGAACATCCGTGGTGTCCAGAGACTGGGGTCCAGGGAGGAAGGGAGGAATCAGTGGTGTTCAAGGGATGTTTAGATGTGTTCTCCAGTCCCAGGGTCTTTATTATTTCCAATGTTCTGTAGAGAGCCCTAGAAACAATAATAAGTAAGATTCAATCTACTGTGATTAAGTATATCATTGTAGGTCAATTCAGTAGCCATAAGGAAACTATACATATGAAATTCTTAAGCTCTTCATCTTTATCTTTGTTTCTTTGTCTTTTTTTTCTTTTCTTTTCTCTTTCTTTCTTCTTTCTTTCTTTCTTTCTTTCTTTCTTTCTTTCTTTCTTTCTTTCTCTCTTTCCTTATCGCATCTTTCTCTTCTGAGATCCTTGTATTTGAAATCAGTGATCTAAGGCTCATGATGATAAAAATTCTAAAGCCTCTCTACTTTCCATGTTTAGTCTCTGTACAGAGAGACACAAATATTTAGCTCCCACTGGTTCCAATAAGTCCAGTAAAGCTATCCATTTTTTTGCAGTTTAGCTTGAGCCACAATAAGGGAAGCTTGCAAAATCTCAGACATTTTGAAGTGTTTGGTGTTCATCTGCCAATGGAAAATTCCATAAAAGATCTTTGACAGTTCAAGATCAAATATGAAAAGTTTAAACTATACTTTCTTCTCACTCAATTGGATTATTTGAAATACACGGATCCAACAGGTGTTTTGTTTTGTCCTTTTTTCCCATTTTATCCTCTAGATCTTTTCTTAAACTAAGTACAGACCTTTGAGAAGCCCCTTTCCTCTTTTTTATTCATTTTATTTTGGCTGCAGTCTCATCCTAGTTATTCCTTCAGGAATGATTTATGTTCATTTTGACAGATTTTTTTTGAGTCAGTGTTAATTATGGGACTGTTTTCCCTTTTGCTGAAAATTCCTCATACTGGGAAATATCAATAATGAATAACAAAGTTAGTTCAAAGTGAGCAATGACCTGAGCTTCTCAGGTCAGATTAAAGGTGATCTTTTTGTTTTGAGCAAAGTGAACCCTCGGAGGACTTTGTAAATACTGCCCACAGTCTCAGAAATGAAGCCATGCATTGTTGATTATCAACATTCTGTCCATTGACAGTAAGACTTTGAGACGAATACTATCACCCCTTAAAATCAAAGCTGAACAAAGCTTGAGATTTCACAGAGGAAAACCAAGGATAACTCTTACAGGAAAGAATTGATTCTGTGGTGTCCCACAAAGCCATGGATGAAATTTGAAGTGAGTTATTGTGACCTCATTATAGTGCTTCCTGAAAACCATGTAACTATTATGGTTAAAAAGCTACATGCATTTAAGTCCTTAACATCCTAATCCTGATTCTTCTCCAAGGTGGCCAGGTTAAAAACATCCAGCCTGGGCTCTCTGCTTTGGACAGCTGATTGAGGAGCACCATGGCTTATGGAACACTGAACAAGTGCTCTTTCCACTGGATTGTCATATGCTTTTTCTTTTTCTTTCTTTTTTTTGGTATGGGGGATCAAACTCAGGTCCTTGAGCTTGCTCAGCAAGCGCCAAAACCACTGAGCTAAATCCCCGGTCCCTGTCATATACTTTTTCAAAGCAGCTAAGCAGTTATTCCTTTCTCAATGTTGTAAAAGTGTCACCTTACAACAGTTCTTTGTATTACAAGAGTAATTCTCATACTGTGTCAAAGGCAAAACAAAGAATTCAGAAACCTTAAAAATAAGAGCTACATGCCAAATAAAACCATACATGAGAAAATTATGCAATAAAATAAGAAAAAAATAAGTTTGGTAAAAGTTAGAGGCAATAAAAATAATCCCAGTTCTATCACTTGTTACATAATATAAAACTTTCTGAATAGCTCAGTAAGCACTAAGCACTTGATAGAGGAAAAAAACACCAGACTCACCTTAGGAGAAATATATTTAGACTATTTTAGAGAGTTCTGTTAATGATAACCTAAGGGATGTACAGATACCAACTCTGAGGATTTACTCTGGTGAACACCACCCTTATTCTTCCCACAATGTAGCACGTTATTATTATATCTACTTACTGATGAGGACACCAAAATTCACAATGCCCAGATGGTTTTCCAAGGCTATACTGTGAGCGTCACAGGGGCAATGGAAACAATCTTGCCAAAGCTGATGGGCAATGGGCCCCGGCATGGGGTCACAGGATCCCACAGGGCCCAAAGGACCAGAGCCAGCGACAGAAGGAAGCATGCTTGAAATCCTGAGCGGAGAGCAGGCAAAGGCCTCTAAGACGTGGTTCTGCTCCTTTCATTCGTTTTGGGGAACTCGAGTTAACAATGGCAGTGTGGATGTTGGTCAGGGATTGGAGAGAGGACATACTTCACATGCTAGTGTTGACTTCTCTAAGGTCCAGGATACTTGGAATTTGCTGAGACAATGGAAGCCCCTGTTCCCAAAGGGATCTTTTTGTCATTCCCAGTCTTAGCTCCATTTGAGCCAAAGCAACACTGTTATTCTACTCCTTGTCTGAAAATTAGCTCTTTATCCAAGAGAGATACTGGATATGGGTGGTCGGTAGTTATGACCAGCCTAGGTACTCCAGGAACACCTACCAAGACTGAAATGGGCACTTGAACACTCTGGACTCTCTAATTAAGCCCTGTCCACTTAATCAGATGTGATGGGCTCATTAAGTCACATCTCACTTGAACCCACACATTTCCATGCCTTGGCTTCTATGTTGTCAGCATTTAACAAGGTCAAGATGAGGTTGCCTGGCATGTCTTGCAGGCTGCCTTGTATTGCCTGCTCATTAAACCCCTAACGTATGCTTCTGCAGTGTTGAGCAGAGGCAACTCTATTTCATGGTAACTGTAGCATAGGAATATATTGGCATCCTGGGATCCCCTGAAAAGTGAAAAGTTTAATTTATAAATAAAGGCACTGCTTGGTAATTGGTACATAATAGGTATGGGTTTTTTGGAATCATATAGATTCATGAACATGTATTTATTCAGGTTTTTGATACATCTTCAATTTATTTTCCTTGAAAGACTAAATGCATGTCCATTAACTTTATTAGTACACAAACATGCTTATAAGAACTGAGTGTGCATCTGAGATTTTATTGGGATAGATTTTTTTTAGAAGAATGTGGTTATAGTTTAGAAATTATATATAATAAAAGTCATCTGTATGTTGCTTGCTGAAGGGTTTTTTTTCTGATCTTATAGTTCAGAGGGTTGAGTAACAAAAATAAAAAATGCTTTCATTGTATTCTAAAAGAGATGCAAAAAAATTTAAAAATATGCATTTTTTGTTAATCATGTTTTACATGTGTGAGGAAATGGATATTACTCCAGGTATGACTAACGAATATCGTATCTCCATCTTCTAAGGCAAATGCAACTTTAACTCTAGTATGCTGGGCTAATCAGCTTAAGGGTGAAAAATCACAGAATAAACATTTTCTGTACCCACTATTTAACCTACAGTGAGCAAATCCCTAAATCTCAGAAAACTCATCTCATTCTTCCAGACATCTATAGAATGTTAGGAAACAAGAAAAGAAAAAATATATTGGAAGAGCCCAATGTAGTTCAAAAAATTGTGTTGATTAAATGGAATCAAACACTACTTTCCAAACTTTGAAGTATTATTAAAAGATAGTTATATTATCTACAGTCAACAAATTAGAGATAAGTTAAGTTAGTAAGATGACAATGATTTCCAAACACCAATGATTCCATAGTAATGGGAAAAATTAACTGTGTGGGCAAATAAAGTTGCACTTACTGTTGATTGCTTTTTCAGAAAATTCTGAAACAAGTAAATGCTCAACTAATATGTTATAGGATTTCATTATGCATAATCATGCTGTCACAATAGGTTTTGTTCTATAAGACTCCAACCTCCTTTGAAAGGCAATTGTGTTCAGGTAGTATTGACATGTGTCCAGATAGTATTGAGACGTGTCCAGATAGTATGGAAAAGTTCACATTGATTACAGGGCAATTGATCAGCAACAGCACCTCGACTCCCAGCAAATTAGCAAACTCTGAGCTGTGAGGTTTTCAAGTTATTAATGACAACAGTTGTGTTTGATTTTAGCAGCACACATTCCAATATCAGAATCTCCAATAGATGGCCAAGAATATATTTTACTCTTGTTACGTCTTGTGATACCAATTTAACTAGAAACACAGTTCTCAGACTCTAACTCTTAATACATGACACAGCCTCACCTACCTTTCAAATTTTTCCTCTTTCCCATCAGACGGTTTTATGGTATTTTAATGGTGATGAAAGATATACTGTCATAAGAGACTATGTTTCCATTTTGTGTCACATAAAACTCTGGCTCTAGTGTCTAAATGTTAGACACATCAGTTGACAGACCAAAGATATTTCGATATTTCTCTCTCTCTCTCTTCTTCCCTCCCTCTTTTTATTCTTTCGCTCCACCTTTTCCCTATGTGTCTCTTTTCTTCTTTTCAAAGCTCTTGACAAATTTAAAACAAACACGTACTCAATCATCAAAGAATTATCATTTCAATTATTTCTTTCAGCTGTACAGACAATAGAACACTCAGGCACAAGCACTGTGCTGTATGCTGCTGCTCCATGAAAATATGCTGCTTCAGAAAGAGAAGAGGAATCCAAGCCTGCTCATTGTTGACAAGAGCAACTGGGAAACTAAAAACTCTTCTGTTTTGTGGGGTTTTGCCATCTTGCTTTGATCTATATGGCTACAGCTGGTGAGCGACTCTTCTACTCCTGTTACTTCCTTTGTCTCATTTTTTACCCCTGAGAAGCGTCACTAGCAGATTTTCCTAGGATTGCCTCCATTCAATTTTAGTGGTGACATTCTCACTCTGTCAGAGACAGAACAGCCTTATTAATCACTCTCAGGACCACTAATACCAACAATCTGTCACCACTGCCGATCGAATGCATCGTGCATGGTAACTAGAAAACTCACCCCAAGACCTGATGATTTGTCCTGGTGTTGGGTCCCATAGCACAAGGAGGTAGACATCAGGGATGGTCTTTTCTTTCCCATCTTTTACTATTTTTTTTCTTTGATGGCTCAAAGCTTATCAATTATAAATCATGTTCCCCGTAATGCTTACTTGATGCTATCTCCTCCATGCTGTGGGTTGCACTCACCTGCTAAAGGGTCACCACATGACCCTGTGTGGTAATCACAGTGAAGCACTATGGTAAATTTGGCATTTCAGGTTCTGACTGAATTTTGACAAAGTGCTTTTGAGTTTTCTTACAATATTTAACCAACAAATGTGGATGATGCCCAATGTTTACCTGCCGAAGTGACTCTTCTATTTTGTGGTAGTTTGTTTTTCTTCATTTCAGACATGAGTTTTATAGGAGAGTGGGTAGAGAGTAGAATTAGGATGAGTCCCTCAGAATATCTTATTAGCACAAGGGAACCCAGCGTACTGACCTCAGCAATATCAACGTGAAGCCATCACTAGCAGCAGTCAGTTTCATGTAATTACTTACTGTCATAATGACATGCACCCCAAAATAATACTTTATTAATTACACTTTATTGTCTATATTTTTCCCAGGCTTATGAAAAATTTACATTTTGATGACTTTAGTTCTATTTTCTCATCATATGCATGTTACAATACCGGGTGTTTGCCATTATTGTCTTCATTTTACAGATGAGGAAAGGGAGGCTAGAAGAGTTTACGGAACTTGCTAAAAATATAAATACTCCAAAATAATAGAGCCAGATTGGCAGCAAGGTCTATGTGTCCTTTATGATGGTTTTTCCATACACACTGAGGATTTGGTGAAAGAGAAAATGTATATTTCATAGCATTTCCCATGTATCATGCAAAACCCCAAAGAATTTAAGAAAATAACTTAGGTAATCCATTGCCACATTGTAGCCAGGTTATAAAACCCCAGGCATGGGGTAAAAGCTGACTAACTCAGGGTCTTCTACTAGGACCAAACTGCCTGGCCAATGAGACCAGCTCTCTCCAGACTTTGGGAGTGGGACTCAGAGAAGATCAGTTAGTTGTCAGTGTGGTGGGTGGTGAGAAACATGCACAGTTGGAGCATATGTGTGTTAGCCACCTTTCACCATGAAGGGTGAGTGGGAAGTTGAGAAAGTTTTCTGGATGAAGAAAGAAGTAGATGCTGACAAGAAAGAGTCTGGATTTCCTGGCACAGTAAGTTTGTGGCACTGCTCCGGGAGCATTGAATGTAAGGAACCCACCCTCCACCCCCTGCCTCCATCTCATATGATGTGTCATGGGTCATCAGAGAATGTAGCACAGGGAACTGTTGTTACCTAACACATTTCCATGGGCAGGGAGTGTTCTTGTAAGACTTCCTTCCCCCTTGCCTACTTATACATCAGGCACTCTAGCAAGATGAGTGAATTTCTTTACAATCTTTCCATCCTGGGGGCCAAAGCTCCATTTTCAATATCCCTTATCTTCCCAGAAATGATATTTGCCACAGGTTTTGTGTGTTCTCTAGGCATGATGTCTCTCTCTGCAATCCCAGAGGGTCACATCAGAAACATCATATTCAGTCATTCAAAATTGTTCATCATGTTAGAAAAAAATATACCTACTAATACATTTCCTTCTTCCCATAACAGGGGAAAGAATACCTTCTGAAAGAATTTAAATACTGTTATCTTTCCCCTTGGTGTCAGAACTAATCTTCCCAGTAGATTTCACTGCCACCTGTCATTGTTTTTTGCTTCAGTCTTTCTACCTGCCATGACTTGAATATATTAAGTATACTTAAGGCTCATAACTCCAAAAGTTCGCTTCTGCTTTCCTTGCTTTCCTTCTATGAAATCCTAATTATCTTTGAAGACTTGGGTGAAATAGTAGTGTCATTCACTCTCATAATTCTCTGAGTTTGCATGATAATTCACACAATCACCTTAAGAGTTAATATTTACTCAGAGCTTTATCCATGCTCAGCATTGCCACTAAATGCTTTACATGTATTTACTGCTTTAATTCTCACGCATAACCAGTCGAAGTGGGCATTATTTCCTTACTAGCAAAACTGGGAACTGCAGCATTGAGAGATTAACTGGCTTGTCCAAGTTCTCACAACTGAAACTAGTGGAGCAGGGATTTCCATTCAGATAGACTGGTTCTGGAGTCCCTGGAGACACCCAATCTTAACAGTTACTTAGTGGAGAAATCTCTTCCATTGAACTGCTTAGCTGTCTTTGAGACAAAATGTCTAGTGAGAGTATTGGATATTTTCTTTTAAATCTTATTGCTCTATGGATTATTATTCCAAATTTTTAAATTTAGTCTTTAATTGATTTTCTGATAGTTTCCAAATTTCTAAGAGACATGTAGATTTAGTAAATAGATGCACAAATTACTCTTACAGTATATTTAATAAAATGATACATAGAAAAAAACTTCTGCAAAATGTTACATAGAATCAAACATATGTCTCAGATGGTTATATGCAGTGCATTTGGATTTTATTAACAAGACATAATTCATCTCACTCCAAAAAGAAATGGAAGGACCATTAGCATTTCATTTTTTAGGTTTTATTTTTTAGAGAATAATAAGATATTATAATGTTTTAATTGAGATTATGTAGTGTTGTTTCTCAGGGCTGATGTAACAATGGTGGTTTAAAGCAATAGACTTTATTCTCTCACAGTTTTGGAGACCAGAAGTTCAAGATTAAGTAGTCTGCAAAATTGATTCCTTCTGGAGCTCTGAGACAGAATCTATTCCGTGACTCCCTCTGGCTTCTGATGGCTCCTGGCAATCCTTGGCATTCTTTGGTTTGTGTTCCCATCTGCCTTCACCATTCCATGGCACCCGCACCACATGCTTCCTGGTGACGCATAATGTGCCATTAATCAGAATCCTTCAATTCTAACACTGAACGGCTTCACTTTGTGGTTTTGGGGAGACCGTCTTTTAGGAAAGTGGCCTCTTTTGAGGATCTATAGACCTTAGAGAGAAAAATAGTCTTCAAATATCCAAAGATTCCCTGAAAAAATTTTCTCCTTCAAATCATTTCCTTTAAATAAAATGAGGATAAACTTTGAATATGTATTTGGCATATGGTCATGGTGATCATGAAAATACCATGTTGAGAGTTACAGCATCATCAGAACTAGTGTGATCCTGGACTGAATCGGAGGCTTTGGGGGCCAGAGTCTCAGCTTTGTGGATAACAAAATTAACTAATTATAAAAAAATCTCGATTGTACAATTGCTACAATTGTTTTAAGTAAAATTATATTCACATATTTTTGTTTGACTTATGTTTAATAGATAATTTTAAAATCCCACAATGGGTATTTTAAGGGAAATAACAAATATAAACATTCTAACTTGTCTCCTTTGATCAAGGAGGAGGTCCACAAATGTGTGTGTGTGTGTGTGTGTGTATATATATATATATTCATATAAATATATGTGAACTGCATTTAATGGGTACAGCTCTAAGGTATGATTTGTACTTTGATAAATGCATAGATGTTACTTTAATATTATTCATTAAGGCTCATATTCCTCATGTATTTGTTTAAATGTGACATTGAAATTAAGTCACTGCATTGTGGGAGACTTAGAAATAGTTCTTCCAGATTTAAAATTCATTGATTAAAAAGTAATAAATGCTGAAATCAGGACTAAGCCTGATATTTACACCAATGAATTTCTCCTTAAAACACTTGAAGACTACTTGAGCCTATGAAATTATTCACTGTCATTTATCTTTCCCTGTCCAAATTCATGAATGCTTCCCTGTGCTGCATTCATGGTGGGAGAGCCTGAATTCATCTTGGAGTCTCTTCTTCAGACAACTACATTCAGCATCTGTATAGGAACATTTATCTAAAATCTCAGAAATAAGGTGATTCCCAGATCCTGCACAAAATTAGCATCATGTCCAGAATGAATAAATCCACTTATAATGTATAAACCATTTGGATTGTTTGTTAGATATGAAGCAATTTATAATGTTTCTAAAAAGTAGAAGTTGTTCACAAAAATATAAAGTTTTAACCTATATAGCAGGTATAAATTTTTAAACAAAATCTCTAGTGGGACCAGGGATTTAGCTCAGTGGTTCCAGTGCCTGCCTGGCAAGCACAAGGTCCTGAGTTCGATACCCGGTACAAAAAAAAAAAAGATGAACAAAATCTCTAGTGAATAAAACATAGATTTAAAGTATTCTTTAAATTCAGTTAAACATGATTCCTTTGATTCATTCCTTTCACATTCAACTGGCAGGAAACTCAGTCTTAAAGGTGATTGGTTATCCACAATATTTCAGAATGGTGCAAAGGTCGTGGGAGGTAGAATAAACTGTATGCAATACCCCTTCATGTCATACAGTCTGTGTTTTCAGTACAATGCCCAAGCATAGGAACTTTTCTCCAGCACAGAATAGTTGCTCAGCTCTGCTCTTTCATTTGTAACCCCTTTAAGGATTTCTCCCATGTCGCTTCTCCCTCTTTAGACCATATAGCTTAATATCTTCAAGGAAATGAAAATTTTTGAAAGGTTAAATAAATTCATTGACTGCATGCACTACTAAATGTCAGGAGAGCACACATTTTGGCTACTTGCTTTAAATGCAGAGAGAAAAAAGTAATGATATTAACTGTTGGCACATAGATCACTGAGCACAAGGCACTATTTGTAGTACTTAAGATGCATTAAAGTAATTAGGATAGTGAAAAATATTGTGAAAAATCCCGCAATCTCTTTGTTAACAGATAAGAAACTGAGGCACAAATTTATTAATTAAAGTACACAAAACTGGCCAGGTGAGTAGGTGATGGAGCTAGAATTTTAACCCAAGCTGTCTGGAACCCAAATCTATTCTTTTACATTTTATACTGTTCATATAATGCAATAAATTCCCTTGTCATACTTGAAGCCATAAACCACTGCAAAAGAATTTAAAATCTGATATGTGATGTATAAAGCATAGATATACTCATTATCAAAACTATAATAAAAACTAAGTCTTAATGTACTCTGTATAAAAAGACAAGCTAAGCTCTGAAAAATTTTAAAGTTAGAAAAGATATTCAAGTCTATAGCAAAAACAAATTAAATTACCATGAATGACATCCTAGCTTTGTTCATTGCTACTGTGTTGCCACTTTTTTTCTGAATTTCAATCCCCTCCTTTGTAAAATTGAGCGAAATCTTATATAATCCTATGATGCAATATCTAATATCATTTAACTTGTAGAATTGTTGCATGGATAAAACATAATAGACAATTTTGTGACATTTTTTGTAAATTATCAGACATAAAATTTTTGTTTAATTCTTACATTTTATATAGTTTAATAGGAAATAACATTTCTGTAATGAATACAAGCAGGCATTAAAATCATCTTTGCTAAGACTAATAAAATGACAATTGTTAAATTTTAAATCAAGCTTAATTACGACCCTTATTTTGTTTTAAAAAAGGTTATGTTCCCTTTTATACTTCTTAAATGGCCCAGTTTTATCAACTTTATGCAACAAGAGAAAGTACAGACAAGGTGTACTTCAGGGAGAGGGTTTTGAAGTTGGTTTAACGTGGGCTTTGGGCTTGGGCTGGGTGATTTGGGGTAGAGTTTGAGGAAGTTAGAGATTAACCATGATCTTGAGTGTCGTTTTGAAACAGTAGCTTTTAGAAGTGGGGTATTTTAATGGTTGTGGTCTAGAGACGGGATGAAGGAAGCAGGGCCAAAGCTATCCCTGACATGCTAGTTGCTGATGTTGCCCAACACAGGAAGACATCCAGTCGTGTTTGTGGTTATGTGCCGTGCTCACTGTTGGCTGCATTCACACCCGATTACAGCAAGGCTTTGTTTCGGTCATATTTTACCACAGTTATACGGTGACTTTGTGTAATTATTGTTTGCATTCTGAAATGTTTATGTTCGGCAGAGAACATTGCATCCTAGCTGTCTGCTGTCAGTTTCAGGGCCATTTGGTTTGTTTATTTGTTTATTGGCATGTGCTGGAAAGACCAGGTCATTAGCTAATTTTCTTCATAGGATTTTAGCATTCAAAATCTCTGCTATTAAAAAACTTTATCTTTATAATTAGACCATAATTACATATTATGTATAATTATATATAAATAATGGATAATTGCATTACATATATTTATAATTACATATTATCTGCATAAAATATATAATATTTTATATTCATATGTATTGTATACATGCACATGCAGAGAGGTAGAGAGAGGGGAGGAGAGAGAGCAGGAGAACAGGAGAGCAGCATTTCTTTCTCCTCCGTTCCTCCTTGGAATGCAAATACTTGAAGCTTCTCAGTGGCGCCAGCAGACGAGGAACTCTAAATCAGTGACTTTTCTACCACTGTAATGCATTTAAAACGACTAGACTTTTACTTGCTCCATATTTTTTCCCAATTTTTGTCCCTTTGCTTTGTGTTTGAGAGGACAGTGAGTCATTTTGCATGAAATTGCTGTAAATTCTTTTTTTGGGTAAAATTTCCAATGAAATAGAGTTTTTCTAACTGGCTGGTATATTGCTCATTGCCTTGTAACTAGGCCCAAACCATCTATGTTCAATAAATGGCTGCTGAAGCGTCAATCCTACACACACACACACACGCACACTGGTTTTGGGTTGGTCTTGACACTCTTTATACTTACTTTCTGACCACTTCTCCAAACATACCAATTCCCTCCAGATGATATAATAATAAAGACTTCAATTAGGTCAAGGGATAAAAAGGAAGAAAAAGAAAACTACCGTCCTTCCTCACCATGTGCTTCCAAAACACATCCCATGATGACATGGAAACCATCTGGGCAAACTGCATGGAGATGGTCTAGAGAGACTACGACAGAGAAATAGGTGCCAGCTTCTTGAAAGTTGGCAGAATGATGCCCCTTTCTTCCATCAGCCAGAAGAAACAGTCACCAGTGCCCAGGGAGCCCTAGGGCCTCAGAGATGCAGCCCCCCACTGCCCTTGTCACTGGCCACAGCTCCCGCTGGGGAAGCACAGGAGGAGAGTCAGAGTACACTACTGTGTTGGAGGGGGAGACTTCTTGAGGGGCAAGAGGGATATCAAAGGAATTCAATTTCTGAAAAATACAAGAGACTTACCTACATTTTGTTTAAAAAGAAAACTCAAACGCTAGTGTCTTCTGGGGTGCAACTGACAACACAAATCTTGTGTGTTTCTAGGGCATGAGGAAACTGAGAACATGGAAAGATGACCCATTAGCTTGCTAATCAGCCATGCAAGATGAAGTG